AGTGCGCGCAGCTGGCATGGCAAAACGCCTGTTGGGCCTCAAAAAAGGTGATGCCGGTTCCCACGAACCAGTGTTGGTTACCCTCCCTATGACTGGCAAGGCCAAACAGAAAAGAGGAGGTATGGCAAAGGTTATTTGTCGCAAATGTGGCAAGATGGCGAATCAAGCAAAGGAGCTTGCTACGCTGTCCTGTGAAAAGTATGTGGCCGGCAATGGCCCCAAGAGGAAGAAGATGCTGGCAAGGCTCCGCGCTTGTCTCAACAAAGCGTCCATCAGTGATGCTCTCAAGATGGTGCCCGTACAGTTTTGAACATTATTGACTCAGGCAAGGGAAGCTCCAAAGACACTGCGCCCAAACACCATATTGAGGCACTTGTCTGGCCGGTAGATTTCACGGTCCGTTTTGCTTGCACGAGATGCAAGCGGTGCATGAAGGACGAGAAACATTTCCGTGGAATGTCTTGCGCCAACAGCACCGTTTGGAACCAAAAGAGAAAAGGCAACAAAGACGCCTTGCTGGAGCTCGCCAACAAAGAACCTGGGGCGAGGCAGAGAGCGGCGCTCCGTGCTTTGGAGATTTTGGGGTTTCAGCAAGAGGAAGGTGATTCTACGGACCAATGACGGGTACGTCTAGCACTTTAAGGTTGGGAACTATGAATGTCCGGTCATTGAGTGGCCGGTTGGGTGGCGTTTTTGAGTTAGCAAAGACTGAGCAGATCGATGTTCTTTGTTTGCAAGAAACTAGAGTCAATGTCGACAGTTGGAGCGCTGTCAAGTCAGCTGCAAACCAGCGAAAGTGGCAAGTTTTTCCTGGCGGCCAAGGGGTAGATGCCAAGAATGTGGTGATTGGCGGGACGTTAGTTTTGTCAAAGTGGCCTGCTGAAGCGTTGGCCATTCCAAGTCAGTTTGCACCGGCTGACCGTGCCATGGCGCTGAAGCTTGCGCTGAAGCTTTTTCGACCTCACCAGCGACCGCTTCTTCTGATCAATGTGTACCTACATGCCAACGATCAAACAGCTGCTGGCCACGCCTTGGCTGCCATTTTTGAATACGTTGCTATGCTGGGCGAAGAAGCAATCATTGTGGGCGATTTCAACAGGGAAAGGCATGTTTGGCCGGCCTCCACCGCGCTGGCGTCGGGGCAATGGTATTCTTGCGATGAACAAGTCTGCGGAGACCAGATTGGCCCTGGCACCCATCGCAACTCAGATGGTGAATACACAGGGGTGGTCATTGACTACGCGCTTTCAACTCCCAGAGTTGTTGTTTCCGGAAGAATGCAGTCTTTAGGTGTTGCTGACCATGATGCAGTCATTTACGATATACATGTGCATGGTAGCTTACCCACGCCTTGGAGATTGCCGGCAAGCGCACCACTCTTGCTTTGCAATGTGGAGGTTGAGAACTGGAATGTTGCTTGGGCAGAATCACAGCAAGATTTCACCGATGCTCTGGCCGTCGGAAATGTGGATCAAGCTTGGGTGGTCCTGAGCAACTGTGCTGAATCTTTGCTGCTTGCACAATGCAAGCCCAGCAGGGCATCAAGGGACGGCCCGCACAAAATGGCGAGCCCCCCATCAACCAAAGCTCCTACGTTGCAGACTTTGGAGGAGCGAAAGCTGAGAAGATTTGCACGGCGGGTGGTCGAATATCAAAAGGCTCCTTCGCCGCAATTGCAAACCAAGCTGTTGCGCGATGCTCCGCTTTTGCACTCGTCTCTTACTGCGTTTTCTTAATCTGATGGTGGTTTGGCTCCCGCCGCTTTGCTTCTTGCAGATGAGGTGGCCAAAAAGGCGTCTCAGCGACGCCTTGCTGCTTGGAAAGAGGACATTCAAGAAAATGTTGCGAAACTGGGGAAGTGGGTTCAGCAAAAACCACCTGATCCACCTACAGCAACACAGGTCGATGGTCCTATTTTGCCTGAAGATAAGGCAAGACAGGAGGCAGCTGCGTGGCACACGCATTGGAATCCGGACCACCTCCCACATTTAGACCAGGTTTCAAATTTGTGTTTGCAGCTCAACAATCAGGTCGACCCAGTCACGCCTGAAAGCATTCAAGTGGTTGGGGCTGATTTGGCGCGTTCTGCGTTGAAAGCTAAACAAAAAGCGGCTGGTATGGATGCTTGGACTGCGGCTCATTTGTGCAAGTTGCCGGAGTCCTTTTGGAATCACGTTGCAGTCTTGTGGTCGGCGTGCATGCAGTGTGCGAAAGTTCCTACAATGTGGAAAGATATTCGCATAGCCTTGATTCCAAAGGCGGCCGGGGGCCTGCGCCCACTTGCCATCACGACGGTCCTGTGGCGCATCTGCATGAGTGCAACTTTGCAAAAGCTCCGACCATGGATACAAGAATGGGCCTTGCCTCAGCTTTGTGGCGGCCGTCCAGGAAGAGGCATTATGGATGTTCATGAATTGCTCTACGAAGACATTCGTGCTGCCAAACGTTCAAGAGTTGATTTTGTTGGCTGCAAGGCCGATATCCGTAGGTGTTTCGATTCAGTTTGTCCAAAGACTGCACTTGCTATTTGGCGCTGGTTGGGTGCTCCGGCCAGTTTGTGTGACATGGTGGAAAATTTTTACACTGACCAACGCAGGTGGTTTGCCTGGCAAGGCATTTTCCATTCAGAGCCCATTTGTGCTCGGCGGGGGCTGCTGCAGGGCTGCCCGGCAAGCCCAGCCTTACTCAATGCGGTGATGGTAGTCTGGGTGCGCTTCGTTCTTTTGCAAGAGCCTCGTGTTTCTCTTGCAGTTTATTTGGATGACCGCACAATGTGGAAGAAAGGTGTCAACGGCATTCACGTGGTCACCAACGCCATGCAGGCAGGTGCGCAGGTTGATGCAATTCTGGGCATGGAACTCCATCCTGACAAGTTAAATAGTTTCACAACCAAGCAACATTTGACGCCTCAGCTGTCACAGATACAGGACGTGTTGGGGGCTCCTTGCAGCAAGTTCACGCTTCTGGATATTCAGTACAATTTGGAGCGTGCAGGTGCTTGTGTTAATGCAGAGAAGCTTTCCTTTGACATTCAGGAGAGGTGTCGCAAAATCAGGTTGGCAGCGAAACGTTTGGGCACCCGCAAGACCTTGCTGGGACAGTTGGTGATCTCTTTGTTTGCATGGACAGGAGCTTTTCACCACTATGATGTTGATACCATCAAGAGTTGGACCTCGAGTATTGAAGCGGCGGTCTGGGGGCGCAAGCCTGCCCCAGGTCGCAGTAGATTGCTGTTCTGGAACTCTTTGGGCACACCGCGTTTGCATCCTGCTTTTGCGCTTCACTTTGCTGCAGCCCGGGCTGAATGGCAGCGCCAGTGCCGCTTGGCCATAGGTGTGCCCGCCGCTGTTTCGCCAGGCCCAAGGTGGAATACTGTTTGCAAAGACTGGAATTGGCGTGTTGAGGGTGGTTTGTGGATCACTCCCGTGGGGACTTTGAAACCAGGGTGGATGTCTTCTTCAAGCTTATACAAAGCTGCTGCTGCAGCATGGCTGGCTTTTATGTGGACGAAGGACACCAAAACGGAGGGTCCTTTACCTGAAGGTAAGTTGCCTGTGTTCCAATTCCAGGCCAATGTGGCGCATGATTTGAACTATTGTGGTCGCAGAGTCTTGACAGGTGCAGCAGTGGATGGGAGAGTTACTCAACGTTTGGAAGTCGACTTGCAGTGTGATTGTGGTTTGAGCTCTCCTGATCGTGAGCATTTCACTTTCTACTGCGAGGCAAATCCTTGGCATGGTGATCTCAAAACTCCAACTGAAAGGCGGTTGCTTGTTCCTCTTGTGGATGCTCCAGCTGTTCTTCCATTTGAAGATATGACGGCCGACCCCATTCTGGTGGCTTTTCTACAACAGTTTGACCCACATCAAACGCCGACTTTGGGCTTGGATGGAAGTTGCGCAATCGCTCCAGGGTGCGAACTTTGGCAGCGTGCCAGCTGGGCTGTGGCGGCACATCTCGGGCCCACGGTCAATGGGTTGGTGCATGGTTTCGAGCAAACTCCTGCTGCGGGCGAGAGAGGTGCACTTCTTCAAGCCTGCTTGGCTTCCCACGAAGCGAACAGAGCGGTGCGCTTGCTGATTGACAACCAAGCTCTTGTGCAACGTCTTCATCGTGGCATGCGGCTTGGTCAGTGGGGTGGAGATCTTTTTCCATACTGGCATTATATCAGGATGCTTTTGGTTGATGGCTCTTCTTGTGCTTGGATTCCCTCGCATAATAAAGTTCCTCGATGGCGCCCACCCGAAGGGTGGCTTGATGTTTTGCGTTGCCGCATGCTCAATGCCAAAGCGGATGCTAGCGCGGCTGATCTTACAGGTCAATTTCGGCAGGTGATTGCTACTTGTTTGTCACAACACAGAGAGGCAGTTGTTTGGGCTGGAGAAGCTTGGAAGGCGCAACTAAAGGGTTCTCTTCCCTACTGGCAAGTTTTGCTTGAACACGAACCACGTCAAAACAGGTCGTTTGAATGAGCGTTTGCTGCTTCTTCAGCTGCATGGGTGGTACTTTTCTTGACTTGAACTTGCCCTCCGGTTTGTTCAGTGCAAAGAGCTCCGGCTCAGCGTTGGCAATTTCGGCGTCTTAACTACTTCACTTCGGTGAGGAGCAGGTTGACGTCCTCCTCCAATCCAATCCAATCCGACCTACGTGAAAAGGGCCTGGTGCATTTTTGAAAGCTACGCCGCCGCCTTGGAGCTTGATCTTTTTCTGCCAGAATCACAGCTTGGCGTACCACAATCGCCACAATGTTTAGTGATGTTTAGTGGTTTTGACATATCTTGAGCCGTACCTTGCCATACCATTTCAGAGCCATTAGTGACATGTAAGAGCAAACGACATGTCTGGATTTTTGATGCGTGTTGTTGCGAGGTAAAGTAGTTAAAGGATGTTAAAGGATGTTAAAGGATGTTAACAGGCAAATTGTCGGCAAAAATGGCAAAGCCGATCTAAATTGTCATCGTTGTGAAATGTTGTGAACATCGTTGTGAACACGGAATGAGGTGTGCATCACGCAGGAGATACCAATGAACATCATACTCCCCTGCGCGGTTGAGACCTTTTTCAAGGAAACTATGTCAGCGGGCAGGTGACTTGCTCAAGCGGCCCAAGCGTCATCAGCCAGAAACGCGCCACCACATCTCTCAGATCAAAACGCTGCTAATATTTCATGTGGAAGCACGCAGCATATTTGTTTGGAATATTTCTTTTGGAATGATGGTCATTTTCTCTTTGAAGTGCAAAGAATCAATGAATGATTTGAAGGCTAAGGCTTCCCGGGCCTGTCATGTGAGTTGCTTCTGACTTGACGACTTGAGGATCAGTGTGCTGACTGACGCCGTGGATACTCTCAATGTTCGGCATGCCAGGGCGGGATCCGAAAAGGACGAGGCCAGAAGCCAAATGCAGGTTCCTTGTGAATTTTGTGAACGGTTTAGACAACTCCAGTAGTATTCCCCGGTATTCACCACCTCTTGCTGGTGCATTTATTGTCAACTGACAATATGCTCAGGAGCAGTGCTCTGTGTTCTCAGTTTGCTCTGTCTGGGACAGGACTTGATCAAAAGAATCATCCTCACCACCACGGGTTTCGATGCAGTGAATTATGCTGTGAAATCGCGGCTCTTAGACCAGTTGACAGTTTTGTTCCGTGGCTGCAAACTTGGGGTGAAGAGGGGCGTAAGCCGGTGTGAGCGTTCAGATGATGATGATGATGATGATGATGACGATGACGATGACGATGACGACGACGACGACGATGATGGTGATGACAATGGTGGTGGTTGTGGTGGCGGTGATGATGATCATGGTGATAGCAAGAGTGAGGATTAAGTTGCTGAAATGGACGCCTTTCATACGTGCATGTTCAGTGAATCTATGGAACAAGATGGGACACGATTGTCATCAAGATAAACAACCTATACAACATCCATGATCAGTAGAGCGGCACAAAGCATTCCCACTTGTTAGATAGAAATGGCCAATTACAATGCCGGAAACAATTTACAAAACCTGGCCAAGTCCACAGGTTTAGAAGTGGATTGCAAACAACCTCAAACTGCCTCAGTTCTGTTTGAACAAACCGAGGTTTCGCGAACTTTTTAGGCTGCAACCTTCCTGAAGCACCTGTCTTCCATGCAAAGGATTTGCGGCGGAGATGCTCAGATGATCTCAGATGATCTCAGATGTCTAGGTCAGCTCGTGATGCAGGATGACTCAGGATGACCAATCATTCTTTGATCAGAGTGGATGAAATTAATTTCCGAACATGGCTATTGCAATTCGGAACACGATAATGAAGCAGTGCAGGACGGGTTTTTGATTTTGGTTTTTCGATTTGGAAGGGGATGCCTCATGATGCCTCCACATTTGCAGTCATTGCTTGGTACATCATGAATCATGAGCCACCGAGCACTCCCAATTCATGAACTATTTATGAGGGCAATGAGCCATAGTTTGATGGCGCTAGATGCCAGCAGCTTTTGATGCTTTTGGAGACGGCGGGCTGACGAGTGTTTTGAGGCCTCACAAGTGAACGCCAAACTAAGAGCGCTGCAGAAATGACAGTTGCAACATGTTCCAACCCTGGATTCAAGAAACCGCTCTCACTGTCTCCTGATGCTTTGCATCATACACACTTTAATTCGAAGGGATTGAAAAGGGAAGTGGCGGACGCGTGGACGTGTTTTTGCGCGAAATTTGTTGTTCCGCTCCAAAGAGGTGAGATGAGGTGAGTTGTTTTTGCAATGGTCAACGGCCTGGACTTGCTAAGACATGCAAAGACACAGTTTGCATTTTCTGAGCTGTTTCTCAAGATGTTCTACTTCAGTGTTCTTACATTAACATGTGCCATGTTCCATTCTTGCACTATTTGATTCTGGTCATCATGCCAGCTGCTTTTACACGATCACCCAAAACAATTCAGAACAGTCGGCCGCGGCTGGAGCCGGAAAAGTGAAACAGCTCTTGCCGCTGATCATAAGCCATTGAATGGTGCTGTTGAGTCCCGGAATAGCCGACAGAGCTTTGCTCAAGCTCGATGCAACAAGCGGTTGTTTCATTGACGTTGATATGAACTTGATTTTTGTCTTACAGCCTTGATTGGACCTTTGCGGTCCCGAGATGATCGAGTCTTCTTTCATCATTTTGATCCACAAACTCCCACACTTGCAGCTGCGCGGCCCCGTTGGGGGCACTCCAAGAATCGATCTAATAGCATCACAGGCATCACACTCTGCATTGTATTTCTTTTTGGGCTTGCGATTTAGTGGACAGTGGATGCAGAGTATCGCTATGTCAGAATTCTGGCAGCTCAACCTGGAACATGAGTTGCCAACACCTCCCATCAGACGAACCTGTCCTGCCGTGTCCTGTGCCATTCCATGTCATGCTTCAATGGTGCAATTGCGGGAACCTCATGTCAAGTCTGTGGAAAGTGACCAAGTTCCCGTGCCATTAACAGACAACCATGCAGGTACTGTCCACGTCCCTCCCTCAATGTACTTGCCCAAAGCGGCGTGATTTCCCCTGTCGCCCAAAACCAAAGGACTTTGCACCATAATATATTGATATGTTACAAACAATATGTTCATTTAATTTGGCCGTTTCTGATCAAGTATTGCAACGGCTGGAAGATGCCAAACAAAAGACACGTGGTCAATGCAGTATCCTGAAGGAGTTGGCTAGCTACAGTACTACTGCTTTTGGTCTATGTTACACAGATCTTAACATGTCAGCTACAAGCAGGCAGCTAGACATATATGATCAACAATATAGGTCTGATATGCAAAACCTAGACTCTAGACTTGCATTATACTTGCATTCACACCAAAGTTTTGTGGGAGGGTTTCAACATAGCGAGACCGAGAAGGAGAAAAGGAGAAATGGTCGGTGCCTTCCCAACTTCCAACCCATATTTTACATAGCTTACTGATTTCCATAGCTTACTTGCCGTACAACAACCTGCTGATCCTGCTGCGAGCCGATTGACTCGGCTCCTCCCTGTGGCTCGATACAAGGATACAAGGATGGAGTCACAGCTGGGCGGGTCACAGCGCACGCATGCGCACGCTGTTTCCTCTTTTTGAAACTGCTGTGGAGTTTTTGGAGCTTTCTTTGCGAATCGCAATGGCAATTTATTGTTGATGGCTTTGCTTCATTTTGCTTCTATATTGAAGCACACGTGCGCCGGAGATTGTAGTTGGTGGAACCATGTGGAACCGATAGAGGGTGGACAATATTCGCAATATTGACTTGAAATGACTTGAATATGATTTCATTTTATCCCCGAAAATTAGATGGATGAATTCGTAGACACGTCCGATTTTCCGGATCCAGGACATATCCCACTGTGACCCACAGCATCCAGTCGTGTCTAGCACACAACCCGCTGCCCTATAGTGAATTGGACAGTGACGGCCAAGTCCTACAGGATCCTACAGGAATGACTTGACGACCGAATTTTCTACTCACCTGGCAGCCTGGCACCTCCATCAGTGCTACAGTCCCATGGCTGAAGGGAGTTGAGGATTGAAACATGTTGAAGATTTGCTCACCAGTAATTATATATAGTTATGGATATAGTTGGATGTGGATGGAAGATGATGAGCCCCATGACTGTTCGTTTCAAAGCCTATCATTGAGACAAGGAGTGACTTGAAATCGGTACATCTGGGGCAAAGACGGGCCATGTTCGACCTGACCAAGCCTGGATAGCCTCCAAACTGGGACGGTTCAACAGCCATTTCGCGGTTGGATTCAGGTCTTCAGCCCCAACCATCCGCCCAAGAAGGTGCTGGCTGCGGGATATCAATGGTAGTTCTTGGCGGGATATCCAAACATAAAGAGCATCATGGGATCCCATGGCGAACCCAACAAAATAGCTGGTGAATGGATGTTCCGCATGTTCATCCCTTCAAAATACGGTACAATATGGTTTTGAACCATCCCCAAATTTGGGAACTTCCGACAGTACAACGTGACGCCCGACAGTCAAACGGATCTCGCACTGATTTCAGCACATAGGGTCAGTGTTGTTTGGTGACTGCAGCTGATTTTTCTGCGAAGATCATCCCCGCGAAAAGCTCAAAATGATAGCCGATAGCCTTAAAAAAACACTATAAGCATCTGTAAGCATCATTCAGCACTTCATCTCCTATTATCCTATTGGCACTGGCGAACCAAACAAACCGATACCAAGTCGTTTTCCATTTGTTTTTTTTTCCAAGGGTCCATCGCCAGCACAGTTGGATCACTTCCAGGTGGAAGTTCATGCAGATCAACAAGCTCGGAGCCCCAGAGCTGGCCATAGAAACAGTTTCTTCGACCAAAGATGCTATTTGAATTTGAGTTTGATTTTTCTTCAAATCAATCTGGAATCAAAGTCTGCGAAATGTGTTCCTTCGTTGAGTCCCCCTCGAATTTCTTGCCAGGATGGAAGTTGCCTGCAGGCTATCATCGCGCGTTGGGGGGTCTCAGTTTCAAACTGATGTTTTCAAATGGGGCATAGCTACGTAGAGAAACCTTGTAATTATGGTGTTTATACTTTAATAATCTTTAGTACAACTTTTTTTGTTGCAACTTGGAGATACATACTAGCCAGCTTAGAAATGCTTCAAACACTTTGTATTGCATGGTATCTCAGATTGGCCATGTTGGCTATTAATACGGACTATGAATCATGCTGATGAACCAGCTGCATGGCGAAAGCCACAGCTGGAAGATAGGTAGTCCAAACTGCAGATGGAAAAGAAAGATCAACATCATCTTACCAGTAATATATAACATCATTTTATTATATCTTATTATATCTTATATATATATACCATCTTAATTTGACTTGAGTACTTACTGTCAGTACCACATTTTTGGACAAACCCTGGGGGATGCCCATGGGATGCCCATGGGATTTTGGCGGTCCAAAGTTTGAGAGACACCGCGTGCCCTGTTTTTTCTCGCTTTTCTGTGTGCCTTCACTTTCGAGTTTTTTCAAGTTCACCTCTGAAGTTGGGTTTCGTTTGAAGCGTATCAATGACTCAAAAGTGTGTTTTTGAAGTGGGTTTTCCTTTCAACTCCAATAACGTGATAAAACATATGAAACCAATGCCACAACTCATCCCCAACTTCAATGAAAATCTTGGGTTTACCGCAAATTACCCCTATACTTTGTTGGTGAAATCATTTAAATCCCATACTATCCTTGTGTATCTACTGGAGGGATCTGGAGGATGGAAGTTGGGCGGAAAGCCGTTGATATCCTGGGCTGACTGGGTTCAAAGGCATCTCAGCGGGACTGAGCTGTACAGTAGCTGAAGTGCTGGTTAAAATTTGACGGCTAGAACCTTGAGAATAGGTTTCTGGAAGATGATTTCCGAGACTGGCAATATCTGGCAATGTTGAGGGTTGATGTTGAATTCGGGTACCATGGGTACCGTAAAAAGTGAACCAGCATATTTGATATTTCGTTCCAAGTTTGTGTCAGACTCCGATTGTGTCCTTGAAGCGACAGTAAAGCGTCAAGCAATAGGCAGGATAAGTGGGCATGGATTCGAGGGGCAGAACCTGAATGGGTTTGGATGGCCGGACATATCCGGACATCATCTTCAAAGTGGGTATGGCCGTCAAGATTTATCAAACAATCAGATCGGGTGGGAAGGTTTCAACCAGGCCTATATTGAACATTATTGAAGCATATTGAACCACATGATCCCGTGTCTGATAAAATCTGTCTTTTCCGGAAGCTCGACGTCGGATGGCGGTGGAACCAACAACCACTGGGATTCATTCAGGTTTACATCATAGATCATCATAGAGCCACCAGGCTGTGACATTTTGGTCGGGCATCCCCAACCTTTTCCCATAAGGGTGTCATTGGTCTTGGCTCCAAGGATTCCCTCGATCCGAAACTTGGACACGGGTTATCACGGCTTTGTTGGAGCCTTGGCGATGCCGCTGAACCTCCAAGATATCCAGGTTGAATCAGGTCGAGGCAAGTCGCGTATGGTACATACAGTGTATAGTGATGATATAGTGATGTATAGCGTATATGTATGTATATGTATATGTGTACCTACTGAAACTTTTACCCTCATTTTTTAGGGTTGAAAACATAATAGTTTACTATTTTCATCATAAGGGAAAAAACGATTACTATTTCCAAAAATAGTAGTCTATTTTTCCAACCACCTGGTTTTCAATATATTGATTAATGTTAATTGTATATCTATGTGGGTATGGGTTCATTAGGTACCACTTCCCATCAAGTGAAGCCAACTCCAGTGGGGTTGAATGTCTGCAAGAAATGGCCCGAATGATAGGTTGTGCTGGTATTAGCTACCAACATTTATCAATTATTCCGGGTTACAAGTAAATCAATCAAATGATAAGGAAAGAATGGGCTAGCAAGTCCAACCATGTAGGCATCACTGGTTTTTTAATCTGATCACCCAAGAATGCGTATTCCCCAAATAACGGATGATAGTGGTAGTTCACCACTTCTGGGTATATCTCTCACCTTGCCAATTCCTTATCGCTGCCCCGTGGGCCCCGTGGGCAATATGATGATGCTGAACCTCAACTTCATACCTGCCACAGGCAGCCGGGGCCCCCATTTTCCGCTCAGACTGGGCGGTGAATCAGGTTGCCTGGGCATGTCTGGGTGTGGTTCCCACACAACTCCATCAAGGGTTGGTTGATATATAAAACATGCATATATTATATGAATATTTCCTCATGGGCTACATAGTTTGCATGGATCTATGTATATAAACATCAATGATATGATATGATATTATGTAGTGTTACTTAATTAGATTGTTATGAATGATTCAGGGGGATAATGCGAACCAAGTTTGATTGGCTCTGCGGCATGGCTGTTTATCACTCAATAGGGTGGTTTACCACATGCCATTTTGATCTGGCTTTGCTTCCCCAACCGCAATGGATTGTGTTGGGCTGGCTGTGGAGTGGGAAGCCAATGTTGAACTACGGGACCGTATTCGAGAGGACAAACGCGTCCTGGTTTACAATGATGCTGACAAGTGGTGCAAGCCCACTCGAAACAATGCAGTGGCCAATGCTATGGTGGTACTTCCAGTGTTGAAGCGGCTTGGAAAACATGAAACCAAGACCCTCCCACACCTTGATGACCTGATTGTTGAAGTCACTACATTGTTCCAAACATGTGGATTGGGATTGGGGAACAAGATGCCCTACAAGACTAGCAATGAGATCAAGAAACTTGCTGGCTTTGTCAAACGTCGCAGTTACAGGAAGGAAGTCACCAAGGAACGGGGTTAGTGGTTTTGGCTTGCTTTATGGTTTTTATGTTTGCACCAACTTCCCAGTGGGTTTGGTCATCACAATTTTGAACATATGGTTCAAAAAGGATCATATAGAGTTGAACTTCATTCCAACTATGACCAATGATTGATTTCCCATGTTTGCCACCCCTGTCAGGATCCAGAGTTCCATGAACTCATCTTGGAGTATGATCCGACCATGAAGGACCATGGTGAACTTTTATTTGATAGTCATGTTTGGTTATAAAAAGTTCATAGTTGAGTATGGCCAGCAATATTTAGTGGTTTCAACTGCAGTGGTTCTGTGGTCATGATATCTATCACAAACCCCAAAAAATATCAAAACATAATTTATCATAATTCAAAGCATGATACACTCATCACCATTTCCTTTGGCCCTGGTTGCAGGAGGTCATTGATGCCTACCTAGCAAAATGCCGTCGGTCCAAGTCGAGTGCTTCAAGTGCTTCTTTGGGAGACTCTGGGGGGGGCTCTGATGGGGAGAACTCTGAGGATGCGGATGCTGATGCTGACCCGGAATCCCAGCAAGAGTTTGTTGACTTCAAAAAATGGTTGGATGAGAAGATGCCTGGTGGTTCTGAGGATGCCCCACCCAAGTCGATTGAGAAACCCAAAGCCTGTTTGAAGTGTGGTGCTACTTCCTGTGATTGCATCTCAGTGTGCACTATGTCTTTTATTTTTGTAATTCATCCCCATCTTTACCAAGAGTTGACCAATTCCAATGTTCAATATGTGAATATATGTTATACTTCATGTGGTCTTATGGGCCCAGCTTGTCCTGTCCCAGTTCCATCCTGCCAATGCCAAGGTACTCAGGTTGCTTCCAAGCTGAAGGCTGCTCGTGAGCAGATTGCTCAAAGGTTGGCTGAGCTCCGGAAGAAGAGGGAAGAGAAGCTCTCCTTGGTTTCATGGGATCATTTCTGGTGGGTAGTTGGCACTGGGTAATTGATGGGTTTGGGGTTATTACCATACAATTATCCTCCATGGCTTTTACTCTGGGCCCAAACATATCATGGGGGTTCATCCCACTACCCATTAATTTTCTTCTGGCTACTTGCCTTTCTGAGGAGTGGCCCTCCGAAGAAGCGCCAATGCTTTGATCAACAGGGTGACAAAGGCAAGGGTATCCAAATTATGTGAAGGTTCCATTACCTTTCATTCAACCCTGCATCATATTGGTGAATACAATAGTCCTGAGAAATGGATATCAAAGATGTTTGTGTTGAAAATAATTTATTGTAATGCACTCATTCTGAACCTGAAGGGCAATCCACAAGTTGAACCCCTTTTTCACAGGTCCTACTTTGCCTGCCATGAAGGCAGCAATGGTTGCAAGGGATACGGATGAAACCCAACCCCTTGAAGCGGAAGTTTTTGGTGACATTGGTGCCTTTGACCTTGCTATGCCCATTGATGAAGAGCAAGAGGATGAACCTGGTATGGATGATGCAATCAATACTGCTAATGCTGAGATTGCCGAACCCCAACTGAAGGTGCTGAGTTGTGAACAAAATATGGTTAAGGTGCACTGGGATCATCTTACCTCAACTTGGGTGATTGATCATACCACATCATATGCCCATCAAATTGTTTAGCATCCAATGGACAATCATTGATTGATGATCGGTGGCACCATTGCCCATGATGGTATGCACTTATATGTCTATAATCTATAGTTTCTCTTCCTTTCCATATCCTGATAATTCCTGGTGTCTTCCCCCAGCCATGCAGGTTTTGACTCGTAGAGATCAGCTGAGCATGAAGGAGAACAAGGAGAAGCAGAAGCTAGCGGAAAAGGAGAAGAAGGAGAAGCAGAAGCTAGCGCAGAAGGAGGAGAAGGAGAAGCAGAAGCTAGCGCAGAAGGAGGAGAAGGAGAAGCGAAAGCTAGCTGACAAGGAGGCAAAGGCTTTGGCGAAGCAGAAGGCGAAGGAGGAGAAAAAGGCAACGGCCAAGGCAAAAGGGAAAGCTAAGGCTGCAGCTGCCAAGCCGGAGACAACGGATGAGAGTGAAGAGGAAGTTGAGAAAAATGTAGGTGGAAGGAAGCCTACAAAGCTTCAGAAACCAACGGAGGAGGCTGCTGAGAAGGAGGAAGATGAAGAGCCAAGAGGCAAAAAGCCCAAGGTGATGGCTGAGAAGAAGGAGAAGGCTGTCCCGAAGAGAAAAGCAAAGGCCAAAGCTGCAGCCAAAGCCAAAGATGATAAGATGGTGACACCCAAGAAAAAATTGTTCTCCAGTGAGAGTGACAGTGATGATGAAGCTGGAGATGATGGTGAATGCCCTGATGGAAAGCCAGGAGACGCTGCAAAGGTCAAGGAAGCCTTGGAGAGGTGCGCACCTGAGGCCCACAAGAAGAAGAAGAAGAAGGGAGGAGTGAATTCCCAGGAGGCGGAGTCAGCATGCAAAGCTTCTGAGAAACCCAAGGGGAAGACCGCAAAAGTCAACCTTTCGCCCTTCGCCAAGAAGGAAAGAGCCCGGAGAAAGAAAACTGAGAAGGCTATCATGCATCAGGGACCTGAGGAGGATACGATGATCCAAGCCTTGTGTTTGCAACACATGCGGAATGTGGAAAATATGAAGTATGAGGAGGTGAAAGACTACTTGCGGGAGAAGTTGACCAACAAGCATGCAAAGGAGTTCAAGCTGGACGAATATTGGGGAGGACAGCTTGTGGTGTCAAAGTCCCTGAGCTCGGTGATGGCACTGCGAGAAAAGCCCCCCAGATTGCCTACTTCAAGCCATATGGCACATCGCCAACTGGATGGAATTTTGGCATGGTCCTGGTATACGTCTCAGCTTCTTTGATGGCCACTAGACTGCATCAACCAAATTTATTTTTAGATATATAATATATATTTGGTTTGTTTGTTTGGTATTCAATGTTCCATCCAACATTGGTGAAATAGATACAGTATTCTTTTATGAAACAAAAATGACCTATTGGATAAGGGTGAGGCATGGTTGGATCATCCAATATCATTTACTGATTACATATATGATTCTATGTCCCATTACCTCTGCATCATGTGTCTTATCCATCTCATGTTTTGCCCTCTGCATCAGGCTTCGTGGTTGGAGGAACTCCCCAAGACGGACTTGATGGCTTGGCAGGACCCCACAGGCAAGGTTCAAACCCAGATCTTTTACATCAAGTACAATGTGAGCGTTGCTGCCACCAAATTTAAACCCAAAGCAAGTGGCTGATGATAGCTTTTCCATTTGGTCTGCAGATTGGAAGGGTAGCAACATGTTCTTTGTTCAAAAAAATGGTTTCAAGTCTGCATCCTATAAAACAATTATACCAATATCTATCATATATTTTGATTGTTATGAAACCCTTTCTAATCTCAAAGCATCGTACTTGTTTGATGTCCTACCCTTGGTTTGGATGCCGTGCAGACTAGCTTCAGCCACGTTCTGGTCTCCAAGCTCATCTGCTTGGGATATGATCCATCCATTTTACCTTAGCTTGAGATGTCAGGGGTACAGGCTTTGCGGCATTGCTGAGGCAGCATTGTAATGACCACACTGATTCTCAAAGAAGTAAATACCATGGTACTCCTACATGACCTTGTTTAACATATATATTTTGGGTCTGAAGGCATTTTGGATAAAAAATCATTTCATGATTACTTATCTTCAAATATGTTATATTATCTTCAGTTCAGTGAGCTTAGCCTGTAACATGTTGGCTACCCCACTGTCCAGGGAAGGTGGGAGCCAGTCGCAAGATGGCAATTTGAGTTGGGTCATTTAGGCGTGGGGAAATCCTCACAACAATACATCTGGAGATCAGCGGTCAAAAAATATGGTTTGTTCCTATCACATTAGGGATATTTTTTCAGGTTTTGTACTATCCTCAAATGAAGACAACAAACATCTGATATTTGAGAGATCTTTGGATTCATGATTGGGAAACTTATATCATTAATTTATATTAATTTCCCATTCAACATGGACTCAACCTGTCTCACCCAAACCTTCACTTTCCCAATGTGAACACATGCTTGTCCCAGCCACACTTCTGCGGCCCCAAGGCTGGACCAATGCCTTCGATGCGAGGCAAGCGCTGGGCAGTCAAGCTTGGTTTGGAGGAGGATGAAACATGTACAACCTGCCTGTTTAACCATGGCAGTGATGATTCAATCAGTCATGAGTTTCCTCGGTGCCCAATTTTTTTGTGGTGACAAAGGTGGAAATGAAACATATTCCAACATGATACTTTCAGTTGATTTCATTCTGGAGCACTCTTCACCTGTGAATGCATCCAACGAAAGCTGCTATGGATCAAATATTCAAAACAAAACAGCTGGTGAAAACCATGAGATTTCCACAGTATTTATTTAGCAAAGAATGTTTTTTGTGGTGAAAATTAATGTCATAGAGATGCCCTTAAGTCAATGGTTGCTAGACCATTAGGCATTCTCTTCCTTTGACCCTCCTTGGATAGTGCAGAAATGGCCTGGTCTGCGCAGTTCACGGATCAGCTGTGCTGGCGTCTCAAAGCCTTAGGGGCACCAAAGGTGGGATGATAATAACATGATTGAATTTAGTTTATTTGAATTTGGGTTTACCCATGGTTAGTGTTTATACAGTTTTATCAACAAGTCAATATTTGGCTATATAATGGTGATCAACAAGAATCAATCATATTGATCCCTGGAGGTCCTGCTATTTGCTGTTCTCCTGACGACTTGGACTGTCTTTGATTCAAAGAGCTGGCAGGACCATGTTGGCTCATCATTGTTTATGTTTTGAAATCATATATCCGATAACTGATTTTTTGAAAGAGGGACTGCATAATATGTTGTGATTAATACTGATTGGATCTACACTCTATAGATGCATTTGGGATATCCTAAAATTTTAATGTAGTGTCAAACCACCATTCTTTGGCAGGATGAAACCCGATTCCGCTTTGTTGAAATGTTCGCTGGACAAGCTGAAGTTACCCGTATGTTTCGCTACGCCTCCATGCCTGCAGCACGACTTGATTTGAATTATATGGAAGCTCAACCAGATCGCATGAACCCCATGGACTTACTCAGTGATGCTGGCATGGTGAACCTATGTCAAAGCTATATTCAAGGTTTACTGTTTTTTTGGTGTTTCTATCTTCAATAAAACCATGCACTTATGGTAAAAAATGATTATACCCATGATTGCCAAGGATAATGTGAAAGGGTATTTTGGTGTAGCACATCGCATTACAACAACCCTCTGATATGGCCCTGACTGCTCAGGACAGCATTGGCTGTGATGCTACGGGGGGATTCATTGGAAGGGTGGCTGGCCCATTTTGGGTTGAAGTGCAGCACATGGACACCAGTTAATTCTGGGACAAGTTGTAGATCACCATGTTCTTCAGTGGGAAACCTGGACCATACATCGGTCAATGAAGGCAATTGCCTTGGAAGTCGGAATCTTGAATGCAAAATATGATATCGAATCCTAAATATTGATATTGTGCCATTGCAGGATTAAGTTATGGGGTATAAATCCTGAACCTAATCTCGCAATATCGAACAACATCCAACATATATATTGGAGCCCAGAATCATGGTATATAATTAATTGGTGGATAGTCCAAATTTAATTTGGCATCTACATTGTCAATCTCTTTCCCAGGATGATACTTCTTATGATGGTGGCTGTGTGTCTCAATGCGACAATACTATTGGAACAACCAGCACAGTCCTTCTTTGAATACTACCCGAGATGGCGGGACTTCCTTCGAATGCTGAGCAACCATGGTGGTCCACATTGTGTATCTTGGTTGGGTGCCAACATAACCTGCTCCTGTGTCCAAGATACATCCAAAACATATAGTCCCCCAATGTGATATCCAACTTCTCCTCGATGTGTTGTAGCCTCAATTGAAAGATTTTTTGGGAAGTTGCTAATGAACTATATACACATGCTGCTATCTTAATTGGTTTACCAATATCAACTATCATATTTTTTTTTGGGGAGTGTACATCCAATGTAATAATCGGCATACCCCCTCATGAAGCTGGTGGCTTCGTAAATGAGCTAGCTAATGATATTTATTTGGTTTATGCATACATGATTGGTCCACACTAACCAAACATTTTTTATGGTATGATTGAATATGGCACCACCAAATTATTCCATATCTTCAATGGTTGCCTTATTCTGACTGCCCAAGGTACACAAAACTACCTGGTATATGTTGCACTATGGTGGTGCGTCACCCAAGCCTTTGTTTGGGTTCAGCAACTCCAAACACGTTGGAAAGCTGAACCAGGGAAGGTTACAGGGTTGGGCCACCAAAAAAAAATCTCTCAAGGAGAAAGGAACACACAAAGACCTTGTCATCAAGTATGTGGATTCTAATGGCAGAAAACGATGGAAAGGAAGCCCGGATCTACGTAGCTCTGAGTCAGGGTCTTAATTGTTGATATGCAAATTCATTGCAAGTAAACATCATGTTTGATAAGTGGGCAATGGGTGTGTTACCATCACTGCTTTGATGTATATAGCTATCAGCTTCATGGTTCATCAGCAGTATATACTTATGCCCCCAAACACGATAACATTGTTGATTTTCTTGGGTCTCATGGTTTGCTAGCTGAGGAGTTACCCTCCGAAATTCGGCTTGAAACTGGTCGAGCTATTCCATGACCTCATCAATGATAAGTCGGGAATGCCTGAACTACCATCTTCTCCGTTGCCCTCGTCGGAGGAAACATTCCGTTCGATGGACTTTGACGATGTTTGGACCGAAGCCAGCATGGTGTCAGTATGTCACTACTTGAGGGCTGGGTGTCATTTGAGGATCCCTGAAAAATTTAGAGACCTTTTGCCCAAGAAACTTTGAATATGTTTCTTGTAGATGGACTGCAGGCTGTTGCTGTTCGGGCCCGACAACAAAAAAATATATTCTGTACATGTTTTATTGGCTCTGATTTCCCACCAACCACATCCAAAACCAAATTTACAATTTTCTACCCATAATTTGCCGTAATGCGTAATTTGCGTAATCCATCGTATCAGAACTGTAACCAAAGTGGAAAAATAGACAACTATTTCACTGCTATGGATGAAAAAAAGATATCTATATTTGGTGGTTATGCGTAACTACCCATAATCTGATGTCAGAATTTCGTAATCACTATGCAAAAATAGATATGTTTTTAAAACCGTAATTTCGTAACCGTAATGAAAACGTAATTTACCCATAAAATCCCGTAATTTACCCATAATCTAATTATGGGTAAATATGCTAAATAGATATCTATTTTGCATTCATTTTTATGTTAATTTTATCTTGATTTTGTCAACAATTTTCATGCCTTAACATGGTTCTGAACCATCGGGACCGAACTTTTGGCAACAGCATTTCATAGCAGCGTATACTATTGCCAATTCATGGCTTTTACGGAGGATGCCTGCAGGCATCAACCATCTAGGTGATTTCACCTGTGATGACTTGCAAGTACAATGGGTCAACAAAAAAAGCATACCTGACCTCATGCTTGGTGGATTTTTGGGTGCGGCTTGATGGTTTGAGACTACTTGTGCATCGTTTGTTACTTTGGAAACAACTAGGTACTGATGATTGATGTGAAATGCTGGTTCTTCTCAAGGATTTGGCTGTCAGTGTAGTATCAAGTAAAGGCATATGGCCTTTCTCCGCCGTGAAACCCTTCGCACCATGGTTTCCATGGCAGACTCCACCAGTGATGTTCAAAGAGGCATGTCCCATATTCTGATGGATTTGGAGAACAATCTACCGACTACAGAAGAAGAGCTGAAGGAGACCATATATAATTGGAGTGCATGTGCATGCCAGTTGTCTCATGTTCATTTGAGTTTCATAGTTTGGGTATCTTGGCAGAACAATGAGTGCTGAAAACAGAAATAAATTTATCATGATAATTATGGTATCTATCCAATTATCCCAAACTTCCCAGGAGCTCGATCAGCAACTTGCTGACTTGGAAGCTTTAGAATCCCAGGTTGGGAGCCCCAGCCAGTGGTATCCTGGTATCCCAGCTGATCCAAACCATCATTTGAACCCTTGACTAAAGTAATATGAAGCTTGGTAACTAAGTACCCTCCCCTTTGATCCAAGACACTTGATTTGGGATAGCCGCCTGCTGCTTGCTGAGGAGGAATCGAAAGCACACCTGAAGTTCATGCAGTCTCAGGCTTCTAGACTGCATGCCAGTTGATTGAAGCCAAATGTTTGAGGGGATTGATGACAGCAATTATATATAAAGATATGATTTGCCTTCAATTTACCAAGCATACTTGGAAAACAAACATGTATATAGTGATATGCCATGGTGCATGACATGATGATATCAGTGCTAGCTTGACTTTAGATATCCTGGTCATGCTCGCCCGTTTTGAGGCTTCACCTCAGAATGATCGATGGCTTCAACGTGCTGAGGACCCTGGGGAGACACTGCCAGCATCTGATTCACAGATTGAAGCCATGATGATGGAATCCAATGCAGGGGGATCCAAACCCGTTTCCCCTTCTGATGAGAAAAGTCAAAGTCCATCGACACCTTCACTTGCACCATCTGATTCAGTCTCCAAAGCTGAGCAATCGGATGAAGAACCTTACCAAAAGTTAGCGTTTTTTTTTAATATCGATGTAATATAATAGATATCAATTTGAACATCAAAAGGTTTGGGATGTCTTCTTTTCTGATTGCATTTCCATTATCAACCAGTGATAGCTTATGACTTATGCTGTTGGTTATCCCCAAAGGGTGGACTTGTACATGTGTAGACTCTGCCTGCTCCACTTGCCCAGGTGACCCTTCGCATTCTCAACAAGCTGCAGTCTGGTGAGCTTGATTCGGCCATGGCCATGCAGCTCCTGGGGAAAGGGGCGGATGCTGGTTCTGTGGGGCTTCCCCAGAAAAGGCCATTGGCAACCACGAATGCCCCCGTGAAGGATCCCGAACAAGATGCTTTTGATAAGCTTCTTGATGATGCCAAGAAAGCCAAGGCCGATACTCTACTGAACTTTTGTTCTTTTTGTAATTTGTTGCCCTTTTATCTCCAGGACCATTGGAAATCATTGGGACACATGAGTTTGAACATTACTGATCATCTTTTGGTGAATTGTGATAAGGAAGAGAATGCTATCAAAGCAAAGCTTCGTCGCCTCTGCGAAGAAAAAAAGATGGCAGCCTAAAGGTTCCACAATGGTTGCACGATGAATGGAAGACTGGAAAAGACCATTTGCGCATGGCTCGCCAATTCCGATCCTGCAACTTTGACAAGGTCACCACAGGGGTTTCTCAAAGTTTAGCCAAGCATCTGAATTTGTTTCAAAAAGATGGTGCCCGCATAGCTCATTGCAGTGATATACCCAGTCTGTAGACCCATTCCTTGCAGGATCGCTTCATCAAGTTCAAGAAGAAAAGCAGCACAAAGAGTGACAAGAACCTCTCTGATGTTGCTTTGGGGTGGTATTCCAAGGAAGATATGACCAAGATTCTTCGTTGGACAGCGAATCTTTGAAACAATTAATGGTACTCACACCCACCTGGCTGTATTTCTCAATGATTGTTGTTTCATTGATTCATTGAACAATTACTATCACAGGTTCTTTGGGTACTTTGAGCTAAGGAAAAAAATTGCAGGGGCAATCAAGTGCTGTGAAGCGGATCCAACCAACTTGGTGAGGCCAGAACTAATGGAATTCAAGTTAGTTTGTTTCTGATTGGTGAATGTGCATTGCTACCATTCAACCGAAAGATCAACATTATATTGTTTATCCTGACCTGCTGTTTAAATGTTCCACCTGTATGGTAAACCCTTTAGACGCCTTGTGTTTTCACAGGCGGTGCAAATATGGTGGTGAAGATGAATATTATGTTCAGATCCGGGAAACCGGCAACTTGCAACAAGAGAAGGTGGACACTGAGCACCACGAAGAGGTGACCCGATGCCAGGAGACCCAAACTTTAATCCCTTCTCAGTTATTGACCGATTTTTCCAAGTAGCGTAACAAGCTGCCCATATAGATTATCCACATCACACCTGGCAGGAGGATGTACCAGCCAGTCTTGCTGACGTTGATGTAGCCCGTGTGGAGAGCAACGCTAAGCGTTTGAAGGCTTCTGAAGGAGCTGCTGTTGCAGCAACCAGTGAGGCACAACCGGGATTACTTCAATCTACCATATCACCACTTACTTGTTTGTGATCTAAGTTCATTTTATGGCATGAAGTTACCAAACATCAATGGTTTTATCGTTCTTTCTGGTCATGTGAGGCCAACAGGGCCAAGGATGTCTTTGGAAAGTATGTGGACTCAGTCTTGGCAAAGAGTGCCAAGATCAGGTCACTGGTTGGGGACTTGCAACGCAACTATCCCACTGACCCGACTGCAAAGAAGATCCTTAGCTTGATTACCAACACCTAATAATGATTATATATCTATATACTGTAACCTGTGGTCTCAATTGGAAACAAGTCAGTGTGCATATATGGTGATCTGAAATAAAAAATATCACAGTTTATATTGATGACTATATAGGTTATGCAACCCTTCCACCCTGATGTTTTCCCAGAATCAATCTGCCTCATCTCAGGGCTGTTTCCACGCTGAATTCTGATCTCACTACCTTGGACTCCGAGTACAACAAGTTGTCTGACCATGTGGCTGCTGGTGAAAGGGATGATTACAATGAAGCATAGCCTTCCAGCAAATAATGAATGTCCATCAATTCTTGGTTCACCAAAAAAAAATGTGGGAGCCCTGGGCCAAACCATGTATCAACCCCAGGTGGAGCAAGAAGGCTGACCTGATCATGAAAGAATCGACCTTCGTGTGCCTGGGGTCGAATCCTGTGGAACATGTGTATAAATCTAACCTCTATTGGTTTATTTTTTCTTGCATGTTTCATCCCCAGCCCATCCTATGGTACTCACTTTGCCGCAGGTGCACCAAGATTGCGCAGACTGAAGCCAAGATACGGCCTGGAGCTCAAGATAGATTGGCCACAGCTTCTCAACCCAGTTGATGATGTCGAATGATGTCAAGTTGGTGATGTCGTCAATCCTAAGAGTTCAACCCACACCAACACATTGTTCACATGGAAAGCAAATGGTTTGTATCCCATGCCTTACCCCAGGACGGCAAAGCGCCACTTCCAGAAAAAGGAGATCGAGTTGAAGGAGGAACAGGAGAAATGATTTGCTGAGGGTGGTTCACCTTGGGGTATTTGAGTCAACCATTTTGAGTTGACAGCCGGCTGCCATTGTTGAAAACCAGTGGCATCTTATGGGAATTGTGTTACCTGAACGCAATCCAAATTCAAAAAAACTTAGGTTGTCCTGCTTTGGCCGCTTACTTTCCAACCTGGGTTTGGCTTCTAAAGTGAACAGTTGATAATAGGATTGGTTTTACATGGTTTTACTGGTTGCATGCCCATTTGATTGTCTATATCTTATCATACTTGTCACAATTATGTTATCCAGAAACGGGTTTGAGTGCAGCCATGCGCCATTGATGGCATGTTTGGGGCAAACGTGATATCAGCTTATGCTGTTTGCTTTTGGAGTTAGTGGGCTGTGCTACCACCATTCATTGGATGGCCGATCAACCTGGAAACTTGATTGGATGAGTAATCTCACAAATGATAATCCATGTCCTTCCTGAAGGTATGGTTTCATAATGTATTATCCTTATCATATGATTAGATTATATTTAGAAACATTATGAAACCATACTTTGATACTTTCAGATGATTGTGCATATCTTTCAGCCAGGTCGCGTGGGCCACACTGCAAAGCGCTTTGCTGCCAGTATTGGAGAAGGGGTGGTAAGCTCAGCCCAAGTCATGCAACCATGGGGCTGAAAATCAAGTCCATGATGACTGGAACAAAAATCATTATGTGAGTGAAACTGCAAAACTTGGGCTCTGGACTTCAATGTTCCCTTTCAAAAAAACACCTGTGTGATAATCAATGGAAGCAAATACAAATAGTGTGGTTGGTTGGTTTATTTCTGAGGTAGTGGAATGCATTCATAGTCTTATAATGTCTTATACATGTAATGCTTCATAACCATCTAGTCATATCAATTTCATAACTAAATTATTTTCCTGTGGTGTTGGCTGCCATGGGGTCGTCGGATGATGAGCTCATTGAATTGCTGAGCTGTCACCGCCCGGATGCTTGTCTCAACATGTTGAACCAGTGAAGTTTGATTCACATGATGGATGAACCTTCATTCCAATTTGACAACTTTGTGTCTTTTGACATCGTGTTACTGGTAGTTTTCTCTAAGGCTTCAATGGGACCATATGCATGGCAGTCCAACCGTGTTAAGAAGTTGAGACTCCGGCATCCTGGTTCTGAGCCAAATCCTGAACACTTGCCTGTGGAAACTAGTAAACATACTGGTGATCAGCTTGTATCTCAAGGTGTAGCCTGGGAGGATGCATACCTACAACATCCAGACCTTGCACTCTTGCCCCGGTCACGGGATGTGTTCAGAAAGATTGAGGGTGACCCATGTCTTTCACTGAAGCTCCCTCCTCCTCGTGCCACTGCCGGTGGGGTACTGCGTCATGCAATCTGTATCTTCGAAAAATTACTGAAGGACAATAAACCAATGACCTTCAAGTTTGGAATCAGTCATGATGCTCATGTTCGCTGGCACAATCCCGTTTGGGGTTACAGGTATTCAAAAGATCCCTTTGCCCAAATGATTGTAATCTTTGCTGCTTCGAACCCGCATGCACCAGCTTTCTTGGAAGCCGCATTGATAGAGAAATTTGGGAGTTCCTTGTATGCATTATCTTGAACCATATCTTACAACTCACTTTGATTATCATGGTGTGGGCATATGAGCCTGCTACTGCTGGAATGGCAATGATACATGCATGAGTATATACGTGTTTGTGTGTGCGCTTGTGTGTGCATGTTTGCAGGGGAGGTTCCGTGTATAATGCATTATGGGGAACTAAGGCTGGCAAGGATGCAAAAATGAACGTCGGGGAGGAGACACGGTGAAGGAGATTGACGGTGGACCCTACTTGACATATATTGTTTTCCAATCGTGGAAACGACCGAGCATGCAAGTGAGAAGTAGAGCAGACCAGTTGTGAGAGATGTTTCTTCATCTTATGGGTTGTGAACTTCTGGCCTTACCAATGGTTTGGAATTCCAAATCGCACCGGGATGTTTTGATCATGCCAAAAACTGGCATTGCAATCTAGCAGTGTTTCTTTGATGCTGCTGGCAGTTGGTGAAAATGCAAGGTTTGCTCATGCTTTTTGGTGCAAATGCTGTAAGTATCATGTGTGCACTCTGGGATTTCCAAAATGATAGCTGCATCACTCCCCACATGGTCTTGAGTCAAATGGTGATAAACGACTATTTAATCCTGACGTGTTGGGTTGTGCTCTGCTAAGGCCAGCTCTGTGAGTCAAGTCTTGACTGCACGAGCTGTGGCCATGGACATGGGTGACAGCCGGGCCGCCAGTACTGGTGTTGATCGCTGGGCATCCTGTCATATTCGCAACTCTGAACGGGATGTTCAAAGAACCATTGGTAAGCAGAAAACAAAGTTGGACATTGATGTCAAAACAGTTTGCTGCAATGGTACTGACATTCCATGGATCTCTCCACAACAATGGCTTCAGTTTATAGTGAAGAAGGGCCTCTGGCCACGCTTGGCTGGTTGTGATCTTCATGATTATGATGGGGCTAGGCGAAACTTCTCTGAATTTTGGAAGGCCTATGAGATCATCAATCCAACATTTGAATTATTTCAGATCCCGGGTATTGATCTCAGCAGAACTGCACCCTTTCTTGTTCATGGAGATGAAGGCCGAACGCTAAAGAAGGGGGGCCTGATGGTCACTTCAGTACAATGCTGTTTGGGCAAAGGGTTCGACGACAAAAGGGTACGTGGACAGGGCTCTGACAGTGCCAAATTACGTGTGAATTTTGCAGGACACACATTTACAAACCGCTACGTTGTTTCTGCTGTGCCTAAAACTTCGTACGAATCTGACCCCGAGCTATTTCATGATATGGTGGAGCACATTGCCAAATCACTCAACAAATGCTTTCGTGAAGGTTATGTGGACGAATCCCGGAAGGAAACATTCCGGATTGTTGTTTTGGGTGTGAAGGGTGATGCGCCTTATCTTTCCAAGGTTGCTCACTTCTACAGAAGTTACAACACTACTACGAAAAGGGGTGAGGAAAGGGGACCCCCAAAGGGGATTTGTCCCTACTGTCTTGCAGGAACCCGAGCTTTTCCAGCGGAAGAGATTGCAACTTCAAACCCTCAGTGGCTAGCGACAGTGGGCATTAAGCTTCCTTGGGTTAGACAACCTGCATTGATTCAACATTTGATCCATGACAGAGGAGACCCAGCTTCATTTTTCAAGACTGACATTTGGCATGTGTTCCATCTAGGTTTTGGTCGGAGCTGGATTGCCAGTGTGCTTCAACTTGTCCTACAGGTGTTACCATGCCAGAATTTGGATTTGAAGTGGGAGTATCTGACTGATTCGTATTTGAATTGGTGCAAAGCCAATCATCGACAATCACACGTCAGCAAGATTACTGCGTATCTCATGTCATATGGGGACACCAGTGGTGCTATGGGCTCCTGGCATAAAGGAGCCCTAACTACAAATTTGATGGGATGGCTTGTTGACTTATTGGGGTCAGTGCCAAGTGATCCACAGAATCGTTTGGTACAATGTCGGGGCGCAACATATCGCATCAACGCGATGTTCCGTGTGCTTTACAGATCAGGTGCGTTCCTTGGTGAATCTGAGGCTTTGTTTGTTGCTGAGCAGGGGTTAAGTTTCCTACAGTGTTATGCCTCCATGGCATCATCCCTGTATCAAGAGGGGAAGCAGTGGTGCTTTCCATTGTATCCCAAGCTTCATCAGTTTCATCACTTGCTGCTTGAAACCAGATTCCTTGCTATTTCTGTCAAACTGGCACCCAATGTTATGATGTGGTCATGCCAATTGGATGAAGACATTGTTGGACGGACTTCGAGACTGTCGAGGAGGGTCAACATCAGGAAAGTTGCTCAACGGTCTCTAGATCGATTTCTTGTTGCAGCGCATACGGCACATGTGAAAGAGAGGTTGCTGTCATAGAGAAAACAATGGAAGGGAGCTGGACAGGATGGGAAAGGATGCGTGTTTTTTTGTTTTGTGCGTGTGTATGTGCATGCGTGTTTGTTTGGCTGACATATATTGATATTGATGCATATTAATGTAAGATCATTACATCTATTCATGATTATGATTGGTGTGACATGGTGGCATGTTTGGAATCCTTTACCTTCTTGACCTACCTTAACTATAGGGGATTATGCATGGAAAATAAATAGATAGGTTTTTAAAAAAAAACATATCTATTTTTTTCCTACCCTAAAAAAAGAAGGTAATGGATTCTCAAGGTATAAATACAAATCGCGAACTTGAACATATACAAATATCGTCAATTCCAGTCACAACTCTAATCAGTCCACGTATGGCCTTGTTGCTTACACTCGGCCAGGGTTCCACTCATGCCCGTGCCCGGTACTGGAAGGGATTGAGTAACAATCCAGTTCTCTGTTTCTGGAACTTTGGGTAACACCCAACCTCCCGCTCCTCAGGGCCACCTTTGGGGGTGACCCGACTTGATCAGACCCAACCCCCGGCATGGGCCAAAAATCTCAATGCCTCAGGTCACCTGGCAGGTGGTGGGTAATTCCAGGGATCTAATGTGGAGGTATCGGAAAGTATGGCAGGTGCCGAACCTTCCAGGTGCCTGAAATGACCTCGAATCATGGACCGAAACTGCTTCGAAACCAGAAAGCTGGGAGTCCATATTTTGTCGCCCCGGCAACCATGACCAGAATCCTGACGTGGCCAACTTTGCCAACTTTGGAATTGTTGAATCATGTTGAATCCACTTACCAGATGCACGGCACATCAAAACGCACTTTAGGGATGTTCCAATCTGCGGATTGTAACTTTTATAGCTGTGATCTATGAGAGCATCATCCTTGAAAAACTCAGGAATGCTGAGGAGATCATAGCTGAATCGGCGCATTCAGCGGTGCTGCTTTGACATCGTTCTTGGGTTTGCACAAAGAATTCTGTGGCCTATGGGGGTGGTTTGTTTTGCAGACCCAAACATGTGCGCGAAGTCAGATGAAAGCGACGCGTTAAACTCTGTGCCTAGCAGCTTTGTGGTTTGAGCAGCTGTCTCTAAGATGAGGAGTACTGTAGAAAGATGTAGAAAATAAGTTCAGTTCTGATCAACCGCACACTTTTTCACCATGAATGATATTCAGCATGCTTTACGGCTGCTAAATTTTCCTTCTTTTAGATACTTTGACATATTCCTGGCATCGTTACTTACTAACTTACTAATTAATATATTTATAAATATATTTTTATATATATATAATTTTAAAAATATATAATGTTATTTTAAATAAATATGTATTTTTTAGAGAAAAAAAATAATAAATTTAATATATTAATGGGTAAATTAGAATTTAATATATATTATATATAATAAATTTATTATTATAAAATTATATTAATATATATTAAGGATTTAAATATTATTTTTTATTTATTTAAATTATTATTATTTTTTATATAAATATTTTTTTATAAATATATATTATTTTTTTTTTTACAAATTAAAATATATTTATATATATAATTTGTTTTGCTTAAATATAATTATATTTATTTTTTTTT